CACTGCAGGGCCCCCATCCCACGCGACCCCACCTCCCCGTCCTGGGACTGTGCTTCCTCTGTACACAATCGCTGTGGATATAATTACATACAGACTGCTTCGACAAAAGGATAACATCCCCCCACCCCCCACAACACACACCTCAACCCTACCTCCCTTCCTCAGTTCTGCATGTCCCACTTAATCAGTCACACATACGTGCAGAGACACAGGCAGGACACTCATGGGGGGGGAGGGGGTGACATTCTGAGATCACCTTAACGTCACATTACATCCTGACAGAGGTCCACGGTCACACCATGTCACACTGTGAGGTCACTCCTGCGTCATAAGGGGGTCCAGCAGGATAAACGATACTATTTCAAATCAAACCGAGCGTGGAACCCGTCCTAGATAAACAAAAAAGTTCATATCAGTTCCTCCGTGAGCCTTGCGCCCAAAATGTCCACATAATTAACGTTTCTCAGCTTTTTATCGCAATCCACAAGCAAATTCCAGAAAATAAATAATGGAACTCCCTCAGTATCAAAGGGGGTCGGTTCTTCCATTTCGAGAGAAACCAGGAGCTTCTGGTTCTTAGCGGCTGCTTCTTGACAAGGGCCATGGAGTTTGAGACTCGGATGTTCGGGATGTTCGGGTTCCGACAGGAAGTGGGAACATAGGAACAGGAAGTGGGAACATAGGAAGAGGAAGTAGAGCAATTAGACGGGAGGACAGCAATACAGCTGGTTCCACTGCAGGTGTGACCGTGACGACTTGCTCTTTAATAATGCGGAGCTGCCCTCTGCCAGCGGGTCATGTGAGGGGGGGGGGGGCATGACCGGCGGTCCAGCGTCCACCCTGTCGGCAAAAGGGTTAAATCTGCTGACCTTGTGCTTCCCTGCGAGCTGCCGGGGGCTGGAAACAAAGGACGGCCATGGGGCACTGACCCCAGAGCAGAACAATGGGGCTATTTTACTGCTGAGATATCGGCAGAGCGTGATCTGCACTGGGAGTGAGCGTCCGTGTGTGTGCGTGGGTGTGTGTGGATTATGTTTATATTACATTGTGGGGACCAAATGTCCCCCACAGTGTAATAAAAACCTGTTATTTTGACGTTGTAGGGACCATTTTTCAGGTCCCCACAAAGACCTGTGAATGCAATCATGGTTAAGGTTAGGGCTGGGTAGGGGTTAAGCTCGTCATGTTGGGATTAGAGTTTTCCCCATAGAAACGAACGGGGATTCCCCACAAATATATAATTACAAATCTGTGTGTGTGTGAGTGTTTGTGCGCCCGCGTGTGACCTAGTCAATGTGCGACAGTGTATGTGTGAGTGTTTGCTTTTGCGTGATTTGTGAATCTGCCTTTTTGTTTTGACTCACACCTGTCTATGAACACACTAGAGGTTTGCGTTTGTGTCTTTGATGCAGTTTCGCAGGTTTGTGAGACGTTCTGCGCCTGTGGGTCTGAGTTTTCTTTCATATGTGGGTTAGGGTTAGGCTTAGGGTTAGGGTTAGGCTTAGGGACTGCCGGTGTTTACCTGCTTAGCCATGCCTGTATGTGCGCATGCGTTTGGTTTACCATTCCTGCTTATGTCTACTGTTGGCTGAGGTTTCATCTTTTTTATTACCAGTAGATTATTACATTGTTGAGCAGCTTTTAAAGGACCTAATCAGCTGTTCATCCACCCATCCATCACCCTTTATCCATCACCACTGTTTAACGGGCACACGGTTGGGGTAATCTTAGGGGGGTGGGGTACGCTTGGGGGCACTCCCAACAACCATGTCTAGAAGCTGCTCACCGAATACAGGACGTCTGGGCTCATCTAGCTCCCAGGACCTAGAGACAGGAGACACGGCCTCGTTTGCAGACCTTAAATGTGCCCGTATACTTCAAATGACATCTGCACAAAACGAAATGGAACACGTCGGTGAGAACGATCTGTCGCATACATAAAACGACACCACCAACAACTTCCCTCCGTGTCACGCCACAACTCTAGAGGGGGGAGCCGACCCGCAAACGGAGTGCAAATAAACGTACTGTGGCGAGTCGTTTTAATAAAGGAACAGGCAGCTCGTTTAAATTGGAAGCTGCTCTCCTTATTTACAGCCATTTTTGGTTTAATACTAGCAGCGACACAGACCAGGAAGCCAACAAACTAATCACGGTTACAATCTAATGAAACACATGCATTCCATGGCAAATTTTACATGGTTACAATACCAGTCAGAAGTTTTTGCACGCCACTTAAGACTTTTCCATTCCATTTCATAAACTGCAGATTTTTTATTCCTGTTAAGCACTGGAAAGTTGAGTGAACAACTATCAATGAAAGTGTAAGTAAAAAAAAAAATCCCTTATAACACAGAAAGAGTATGTAGCAGTGCATGTCTGACATCCTATTCACTGGTTGTGTGGTGATGGCAGAGTCAAATTCTAGGCTGTGCTGGATTACAGGATTATTAAAGGGGCAACGTGTGGCTCAGTGGGCTAAGCCTGTGTGTCTGTAATCAGAAGGTCACCGGTTTAAACCCAGCCTCAGCACGTTTGCGGGTCCTTGAGTAAGGCCCTTAACCCCCAGCTCCTGGGGTGCCAGAGTACATAGCTGCCCTTTACAGACAGCTTCATCTACAAAGAGGAAGATGAGGGAGGTGTAAAAGACAATTGATAAAAAGTATCTATAAATATACTAGTTGCAGAGCAGTAATTAATGTTCCTTGTAGAAACAATCACTGGACTCTTCTCTGCTGTTAACTACTAGAGGAGGTTACTTTGATTAATCAAAGTTATGACATTTTCTTACTAACAAAGGTACTCAAATGGTGAACATACTACAAATTTGTTAACAAAGAATATTGAGTGCATTTTTAGTAATATTAAGTGAGTAGCATGCAAATGTAGAAAATCTCAGTGCATGCAAAAACATGACTAGTAGTGCACGAAATTTACTATTAACAGAAATACATGAAAACGCACATTATTTTACACCCTTTAAAGTGCAGTGCAGTGCAAAGCATGCTGGGAGCTGCTTGATTAGTCCTGCTGACCAGCCCCATGGCATCACATTTATACCAGGCGATCGTGGACAGCGGCTGTGAGCAGGACAAACGAAAAAGTTTGCCTTGGTGATCCTGAGTCGAAACGGCGATCACCGTGGTGATTAGCGCTCATATAATCTCGTATTGCTAAAACGGCGTCAATTTCGTCTGGAGTGTTGAGCCACCTTACGGCCTTGAGCTGGCCGTTTGCAGAGCTGATCCCCTGAAGGCCACCAGCTAATCTGTAACGCGGTGTGCCACAGAGGGGGCGTGTCCGCGGTTAGTCATTTACGCTTTATTTCCACATTGCCGTCTCCAAGACGACGAATGATTTCTGAGCGTTCTTTTTAAACAGGGGGGTCGGTCACCGAGGACAGAGAGCGGCTGTAAAATAGGATGGTTCTGTGACCCCCCTCCCAGCAACACTTCCCCTCTCCTGGAGGCACACTGGACAGCATGTCGCGTAAGAAGGACACCGCAGGGAGAAAGGCAAAGAAACGAACAGGAATGGGGCAAACAGGTTCCTCCCCTGGCTGCCATGGAGAGAGCCCCCCCCCCCAGCCAATCCCACACAAAAGGCCCTCAGTGCCTCAGCTCCGGCTCCTCGCTGACACATGGTGAGATGCGTGCTGAATGGACCAGGAGAAATTTCACTGCCAGTCTTACTCACCGCCATGACCCCTATTAAATTGTT